AATTTTATTTTATTTCAGCTTTATTTTAAATAACATTTATTTTTAGTTCAAATAGCTTGAGTTAACAATAACAATCCTGATGCAATGAAGCAAAGCATCCAACAAACATATACTATGTGTTGTGCATAAATCAGCTGCTGTAATGCGACGCACAAAGTTCAAGCAAACTTAACTTGGACTGTCCACTACTCAATCTGTTCAATTTGTACGCTGTGCTAAAAAACTGGAAAGACCGCAAAAGAACGAAATTGAATGGAAAACAGCATGATTCACAGCCAGATGCATGCATACACTGAACATTTATACTGAATAATACTTGGAATTCAACAGTATTTGTATCAACATTTACTGCTAAAGGCAAATTCGTTCCAAAAGCGCTGGTTTGGCTGTAGCGCAGGGGACAAATTAAGAGACGCATCGTCTCAGAGAGGGTTTTAGCACAGCCCAATGCTAAAAACCCTGCCAATAATTAATAGCCTGTAAAGCACCATCACTAAAAATATTAAAGCTTAGGCTACTTGACCATCCTGACCCGTCCCTAGTCGAGCGGAGCGCTGAATTGCTGATGTGAGTCATGTGAAAGGACCTAAAGGGCTAGTCAAAATCCAGCTTATACCACAAACAGCCCTCTCTGGTCAAGCCTGGCATTCCCGTTTCACAGCCGAGGGCACGACGCAAGCGGAGAGAGAGAGCATCAGCAGTATGAGTCACCAACATCAGCTCATAAAACTCAACAGCTTCTGTTCTGTCCTGCTTCCCAGCGTCACACGAACACACACTGCCTACACACTCGGCCTGTTGCACGCTCGTTTGTGATGCTAATGGCCTTTAATTTCACGCCGCTGCATCTTGTACTTCAGGTAGCAGGAGCCTATGCGCAAACGGAGTGAATTATACTCCTTTCAATTGACTGTCAAGGTGCCCGAGGGTGATTTCGACATATGACGGCCTCTCCTACACGCCATCGCCCACGCAGAGCTATGAAAGGCACGCTGGTTACGAAAGGAACAAAACATCAGTCAGGATCTCCTCAGCTAGACGCTGCCTTCTAGGGATGCCAGATGCATCAGTGCATACCGAGTGCATACGAACATACAAATGTAAAAATGTTGTGTTATCAGTCCAGTCCTTCCACAGACTGATAAATGCTCACATGCAAATTTGCATGTAAACTAGTGTGCACTTCTTGGTCAAAATGACATTTAAGAGAGTTAAGGCTGCTTTGTGCCTGCACAAAAGTCAGTGTAAAGATGCAATGCTGCATAAAAGCCAGACTAAATTAAGCCTGCTCTGGTCCAGCTTAGCTCCTAGTATCGCAGTATACGTCGGTGTAATTGTTGTGCAAATGCATTCGTACAGTACCACCTCTTAGCAGCATTAAACAGAAAACACTATAATGCCACTTCACAGCCAATTTTATGCCACCTTTGCGGTGTAAACTTGGCACTGGTGAGATATTAACTGCTAGTTAAGGGTCTTAACTGATTGCTCTGTGCCTGCTCAACATATTGTGTAAAGACATAACACAGCATATAAATAAATTCACAATAAATTAAGCCTGCTCTGATCCACCTCAGCCCCTCGTATAAAAGCAAACCGTTGTATTTGCTGTGTAAATGCATTCATGCCATCTCTGAGCGGCATTAAAAAAACACCTACAGTAAATGCCACTTCAGAGGTGCTTCTGTGCCATCTTTGCAGCATAAGCTTGACATTTTTGAGGCATTAACAGGTAATTTTTGAGGTATTAACTAGTTATGTCTTAACTGAGTTAAGGCTGCTCTACGATTGTTAAAACTTCAGTATAAAAACACAATGCAGCTTAAAAGCCACAGTAAATTAAGCCTGCTTTGATCCACCTCAGCCCCTCGTATGAAAGCATACAGTTATATTTGCTGTGTAAATGCAATCGTACCACCTGTGAGCAGCATTAAACAGTCACCTAAATGTATTTAATTAATCACAGCCTTTGCAATTTAACAAACACTAGGCCACATCAGACTCTGACTGTAAATGAGAATGCAGTTAAATACATGTAAAACTTCATGCTCAACTTCATGTTGTATTGTTTTACAGTATCACAATTAATCATCTTTTAGTTTTCCCAGCCCAGATCTGGGTACTGGTCAAGTGGGTTCATCTGTCACATGGCCAGCACAGTTTCCGCTCACACTTTCTGTTTGTCCTTCATTCATCATGCATAATAAAACATGCAGGCCGCATGGAGCGACTGTACAGACGTCCGGGTAAACGACCCATAAATGCCAAAGATATTCCCACAGCATTCATTAATCAATCGCTGCCCTTTAGGACTAAATATCTCATCTCAATCACACAGAAGTGCGCGTCAAGGACTTACAAGTAGTAAAGCATGACATTGCACAAAAGTACGCAGAGGTTTGGCCACTACGAGAATGCAAAAAACATTTAGAATGCAAATATACAAGTGTAAGCGATTCATCAGAGCAACGCTGCCCTTTAGGACTAAATATCTCATCTCAATCACACAGAAGTGCGCGTCAAGGACTTACAAGTAGTAAAGCAGAGGTTTGGCCACTACGAGAATGCAAAAAACATTTAGAATGCAAATATACAAGTGTAAGCAATTCATCAGAGCAGGGTTATTATAGTAAACTAAAACTAATGCCATACGAAAAAAGAAACATTTTCATTACTTGAATTTAAATATTTTAGCTGAAATTAAATAATACGTGACCCTGGACCACAAAACAAGTCATAAGGGTCCATTTTTTTAAATTGAGATTTATGCATCATCTGGAAGCTGAATAAATAATCTTTCCATTGATGTATGGTTTGTTAGGATAACACAAAATCTGAAAATCTGGAATCTGAGGGTGCAAAAAAATCTAAATATTGAGAAAATCATCTTTAAAGTTGTCCAAATGAAGTTCTTAGCAATGCATATTACTAATCAAAAATTCAGTTTTGATATATTTATGGTAGGAAGTTCACAAAATATGTTCATGGAACATGACCTTTACTTAATATCCTAATGATTTTTGGCATAAAAGAAAAATCTATAATTTTGACCCATACAATGTATTGTTGGCTATTGCTACAAATATCCCCCAGCGACTTAACACTGCTTTTGTGCTCCAGGCTCACATATATTAATGAAACCGTAAACTTTTTTTTATTTTAGCTAGTTGCCAACAGTTCTTATTTTCATTTAGTTTAACTTTATGTACTAAAACTGAAATAAAAATGAATAAAAACTATACAACAAAAAAAAATAAAATAAAAATTTCAAAACATAACACTGCAAAGAGACAGTCAGAGAGACAGCGATACTACTAGTGCTACCATATCAGTTAACCAGACAGTCTACACTAGATAGTCACTAACTTAGTAGCCTCACAGAGGAGTGTCCAGTGTTTAAGGGCTTCCTCATATTTGTGACGATCGCGTGTCTGGAAGCAGATAATGCAGACGGACGATGACAGACTGCTTCACGCAGAGCTGCAGCCTTTGACTCCTATTGTGACGTCATCGTGAGAAATCAGACACAAACGAGAAACACGTCACAGTGTAGCACCCAGAAATACCAAACCCACGTCTGTGTCACATTTCATTTCCATTTCACAGTCGAAAATAAGAGGCTAGGATTTACTTTAGGGCCATTCATTTTTTTTATGCATTATCACATTATTTTCATGACAATTAATGTCTGGATGCTTTCATTTCGAGTTAGCAATTCTCTATGATTATTATTAGTCATTACTGTGCTAAATCAAGACAATGACTCAGGCCAGACACCATATATTTTTACAAATATATAAAATATTATATATATTAAGATATTATAATATATAAAATAAATAAATATTTATTTTACGCTTATTTTTTATATTCTGTTAAATTACTCTGTACAGTCATAATATTTTTAAAAGCAAATTAAACAGCAAATTTACACTATATAAAATAAATATATATTTTTTGTTCTTAATTATTTACATTTAGTCGTTTAGCAGATGCTTTTATCCAAAGCGACTTACAAATGAGGACAATAGAAGCAATCAAAACTAATAAAAGAGCAATGATACGCAAGTGCTATAACAAGTCTCAGTTAGGTTAATGCAGCACACGTAGCAAGGGCTTTTTAATAATATAACAAATAAAAAGAAAACAGATAGAATAGAAAAAGAATAGAGCAAGCTAGTGTTAGAGGCCTTTTTTGCTTTTTGTTAATTGTGTAATAAATAAAAGAAAACAAATAGATAGAATACAAAAAGAATAAAGAAGCTAGTGTTAGTTTAAAAAATATATATATAATATATATAATTATTTAATATACATTTACATATTCTGTGTGTATGTGTATATATATATGCACTCACACACACATAAGCCAGTTTAAAATACTAACAATATATATTCAAATTTACATCATAGTAATGAGAATTAGGGAAGATGGGATTGTCATGAATATTATGTATTTATATATATATATATATATATATATATATATATATATATATTTTTTTATATATATATATTTTATATAGTACATAACACACACACACACACACACACACACACTCACACACACTCACACCACGGTGCTCCAAACCGACTTAATTTTCTTCATGCAACATACATTTATACATTTTATTATTTGCATACAGGACAACACAAACGTAAATTCAGAATCCTACACGCACATTTCTAGAATTTAAGGAATGTAAAGAATGTGCAAGCAGAACTCTAAATTCTGTTTCTATTCTCACATCTACATGTCAAGCACACGGCCTGCTCCTATTACAAAACCAAAAACACGAGATACGACCCCCCCGCTGTCGGTTCGAGTCGCAGACGCCGGTGTTCGTGATGAACCGGACAGAGTTACAGCACGGAGGAGAGAAACTCTGCGGTGACGTCAGCGCGCGAGACAACAACAAGCCCAGAAACGCCTGACTGTGACTTCTGGCGGACAGCGTTCAAATCACCTCAGAAAATAACGGTCGGAAGAGGCGCGTTACCTGCAGCTCGGCCCGCTCCACCTCCCACTGCGTCCGTTCCACCTCGAACCGGGCCCACTCGTGCTGCAGAAAGTGTAGAATCCCCGGGATACTGTACTGAGCGCGGGCCGTCTCTCCGCCGCCGTCGCCGTCGCCCGGTTGAAGCGCTTTCGCTCCGCCGGGAAGAACCGAGTTGTTGTTGTTGTTGAAGAACACACCGGGGCCCGCCTGCTCGTCCATGGCTAGGCCGGGAATCGGAGGTCTGATCGACCAAACGGACGCTGTATTTCGTCCGAGAACCGAGAACGGAGAACGGAGAACGGGGCGAGCGCTGCTGCTGCTGCTGCTGCTGTCACTTCATGACGTTTCCGCTAGCGCTGGTCGAGTCGCGAGTGAATCGTTCTTGTGAACCGATTCTCTGAACTGAACCAGTCGAACCGATCAGCGTGGAATGCGGAATGAAATAAACAGCTGACAAATAATAGCCTAACATCGGACTATGGAGGGCAAAATTACTCAAAATTAAATCATGAAATAAATGTTGAAATATATAAATAAATCGTTAAATACATGATTAAATACATACATAAATGCATAAATAAATAAACAAACAAATAAATATTTATTTCCTCCACATTCATTCATGATGTGCCGGCACCCGTAACCCTGAAAATTAAATGTGGAGGAATTAAATAATTAAATGAATGAATATATATATATATATATATATATATATATATATATATATATATATATATATATATATATATATATATATATATAT